GTCCCTCCAAAATAATAGTGTTCCCATTTTAGTTTTGATGTTGTTTTCACATTTTCTTTGCAGACCTGACATATAACTAGGAGTAATCCAGTTAGAGAAGAAGAGATTTGCAGGATGGTATTTTAGGTTCAGTTGACCTCGCCGGTATCCCTGAGGGGAAGTAGCTGATTGTCTCACTCACTCCTCACTGCCTCGATTCATGCCACCCACCCAGACCAGGGCCCATAGCCACCCCTAGATGAGGCATCACCTTGTGGCCTGGTGGGACCAACCAGCCTTGGGTGCCACCAGGCCACCCCAAGCGTGTGAGCTAAGACCAAGGGGGCCCCGGGGTCTGGAAACAGGTCCCAGCCGCTACTCCACCTTCCTGCCATGTCATCTGCATGGAACTGAGAAAAGACAAGCCCTGCTCTGAAGCTGGTGTTGTTTCATGCGGCTGTCATTGATGGGAAACACCTCGGTTTACTCAGAAGCCAGGTCATGTCCCGTGTCCAGCGCGCGATGTAAAATGCACTTGCCCATGTGCATAATGCTCTGACGTCACCACCAGCCCGTGGAACGTCACAGCTGCACATGTGAACTGAATACATGTGTAAATACAGCTTGAGTATCCCTCATCCAAAAACCCAAAATCCGAAATGCTCCAAAATCCAAAACTTGAGCCCCAACATGACACCTCCAAGGGGAAAATTCTGCACATAAGTACTTAACACAAACGTGGTTTCACACACAAAATTATTTAACATATTCCGTAAATCAGCTCCAGGCGATGTGTAGAAGGTATATGTGAAACAAAAATGAATTTTCTGTTTAGACTTGTGGCCCAGCTCCAAGATATCTTATTATATATAAGTAAATATTCCAAAATCCAAAAATTCTAAACGTTTCCAATTTCAGGCACTTCAGAAAAGGGATGCTCAATGTAGACCCATGAAAGACTTTAGCCTGAGTAACCCCGTCAGGAGGGCGGCCTGCTGGCAGCTGCTGTCTCCTTCCAGGATCAGGAGCAGAAGGCCAGATTTCCATTTCAAAGTGGGTGCTCTTGAACGCTGCGGTGCTCTGAGCCTTGGGCCTCCCCTTTCGCCCCTCCCTAATCGGGAGATGATGGCAGAGCCTGGCCTGTCACCTTGGGTCACAGCAAAGGTCACCCCAGAAGTTACAAGTTACCCCGTGTTAATTACCCTCCAAGTGGAAGTGGAGTGTTGTGCGTCTGTGCAGACACTGCCCCTGCTTCTCCTCTGCGGCCTGGTTGTGGATGCCTGAGTGTTAGCAGCTCACCCCAAACATCCACCCAGGCCGTGGGCACCAGTTCTCATTGCTCCTGAAGGTCAGTGTGATCCTCACAGCTAAAAATAGCCATGTTTAATTGCGGCCTTGAAGGAAAAGGTTGTGTTGTTCAATCAGAATTATTGGGGAGTTAATCTTCAAAGGTGCTTCATTCTGGGCAAAGATTGAATGTGCCCAAAAGTCAGGTGAAAACGTTTGCCTCGTTAATTGTAAATCGTCGTCTTAAGTATGTGCTGTAATTTTTCCTTCCCATTTCCAGAAAACAGTAGGTGTTTTTTTAACCCCATGGCAGATTTTTTTTATTGTCGAAAAATACACATAACATTTACAGTTTGAACGATGCTTAAGCACCCAGCTCAGTGGTGTCAAGCACATTCCCACTGCTGAGCCCCATACCCACCATCCATCTCCGGGATGGTTTCAGCTTGCAGAACTGAAGCCCTGTCCCCCAGCACAGTAGCCCCCTCGCCCCCACACCCACCATCTGCTTTCCATCTCTAAGACCTTGACTCCTCCAGGGACCATACATTTTATATTTGTAAATCGTATCATACCTGTCGTTTCGGGACAGGCAGTTCTCATTGCTGGAGGCATCCTCCAGGCTCATCCGTGCTGTAGTGACTCAGTCTTTCCTTCCTTTCACAGATTTCTGGAAAGGTATCTATCACAGATTCATCCTCCAAGCCTTGCTTTTGCTTCTTTCTAGCCCACTTTCTGTTCTCTTTAGGGCTAGGCTGGTACCTCCCAGCATCTGGAAGAACAGGATTTAATTACAGCCAAAAAAATAAATAGGGAAAGTTTGGGGCCACAGGGGCATCAGGATATCACAGCCCACACTGACTGACTCCAGCCTGACATTCAGGGAAGAAGGGATTTAAGCCTGCGCCCAGCCCTGTACAGATCCCGCCTCCATTCTATAGGGAATGGAGGGTCCACCCCACAGCAGAATACCTGGGAGGAGTAACGCAAACTCTCACATCAGGCACATGGCGTGAGGAGGGCTTGGCGGGAACAAGACAGGGACCCAGTGGCCCGCAAGAGTGCTGAGCCAGGACCAGGTCCCATCACAAGATGGACCTGCTAAAGCCTGAAGCTCCTCAGTGCCCTGACCCCCGCATGTGCCGGCTTCCCCTGGGATGGGTCTCGAGAGCCACGGCAGGGCTCGGGAGGATACATGTGAGAAGAAGGGGTTTTGGGACAGAAAGGGCATCCTGAGTGCCCTTGCTTGGAGAAACATTCCTTCTCCAAGGCTCCCGGGCCCCTCTCCACCTGTGCTTCACACACAGCGGTCTGGAGGGCTCCCAGACCTTCCCTGGGGACCCGTGAAGACCTAAAGCCAGCAGTCCCCCAGGCACAAGAACACACATCTCTGTCTGGGAGGTGTTCATCTTTAGCTGGGAGCTGTGGAGAAGGAGGCGGGATGGGAAAGCCCAGTGCACAAGCTGCAGGTACCTCCCAGGCCAGCTCCGTCAGGGCTCCCTGAACCCTGCAGCTCCCCTCCTGAGCTCCACGTGCCTGTCGGTGGGCTGGGTCTCTTTCTAAAGTGTCTGTTTTCTTTCCCTTTCCTTTAGCATTCTCCTGGATGAAGAGGGACATATTAAGATCACAGGTTTGTAAATGATGGCCGGCCCTTGGTGGCTTCATCACAGCCCTGGTAACTCTGGGGACCGCCTCAAAGCCCAAGCCCTCTTATTTAGACCACCTTCCCTTGGCCAGATGCTTTGTCTCTAATTTGGCAGAATTTTCTGTAGCTACAGACTGGTTATAGTGTCATACATCTTCATAACGTCCAGAACCATCCAGCTTCCCGGGCCATGCTCTGTTTGCTGGGCTTTTTCGGCACTGCTGGGTGTTTAGTTCAGGAGCCCTCATGCCTAGCGCCATCCTGAGGGCAGACATCCAGGGTCTCACTGGAGTGCGGCCTTCACTGCTGTCCTCACGGGTGCTGTCCCTGCTTCCTCCTCACTCCCTGGACCATGGCAGTGGCCACATGACCGCCCTCCCCATTTACATATAAAGCCTGGCAGCCACCAGCAAGTTCAGTCACACTGGAAGCGGCTGTTCTAATCTCAGGACACCCCATTTGTATTAGTTCCCTATTGCATCTCTAACAAAATGCCAGAAACATGGCTTCAAACCACACAAACTTATCACCTTATAGGTCAGGAGGCCCCAAGTTGGAAATAAGTCTCCCAGGAATGAAATCGAGGCATTGGCAGGGCTGCCTGCCTTTTGGGGGCCTCTGGAGGACATTCCCTTGCTTTGCTTCTTCCTGCTGGTAGAAACCCCCACATTCCTGGTCTGTGCCGCGTCCCCCATGATGGAAGCCGGCAGGCAGCATCTTCTGAGCTCTCGGATGGCGTCCTGACCCCCTCCCTAACCTGAAGACCCTTGTGATGGCATTAGGTACACCCAGAAATCCAGGGTCATCCCCCATCTCCAAATCCCAGTGGCATCTGCAAAGTCCCTCTATTAGTCTGTTCTCATGCTGCTAATAAAGACATACCCAAGGCTGGGTAGTTTATAAAGGAAAGAGGTTTAATGGACTCACAGTTCCACATGACTGGGGAGCCCTCACCATCATGGCGGAAGGCAAAGGAGGAGGAAAGGCACATCTTACATGGCGGCAGGCAAGAGAGTGTGTTCAGGGGACCTGCCCTTTATAAAACCATCAGATCTCATGAGACTCATTCACTATCACGAGAACAGCACAGGAAAAGCCCAACCCCAGGATTCAGTTACCTCCCACTGGGTCCCTCCCCCGACACATGGGGATTTATTACAATTCAAGGTGAGATTTGGGTGGGGACACAGCTAAACCATATTGGTCCCTCTGCCACGTAAGTGGCCCATCCCAGGCTCGGGGGGCAAGGCCGTGGCCTCTCTGGGTGCTGCTGCTCTAACCACTGGCTGGGCCTGCCTCGGCTCCACTCCGCCACTCTGTCATCCCCCAGACCTGCAGGCCCTGAGCTAGTGCACTCCTGTTCTTTCCAGTCCCGGGGCCACTTCCTTCAGAAGCCCTTCCTTGCTCTGTGGCACCTGGTGAAACCTGTTCTTCCGTCATAGCTCGGCCCCTGCTCCCCAGGCCTCCTCTGCCCATCTGTGCTCTCCACACCCTGGCGTTGTCAGGGCAGGCAAGTTGACCACCTGCCTGGCTCCCCTACAGCCGGAGGCCCCTTCCCGGTAGCTATCAGCCACACACCTGCCCCTCCACCCCGGGTCCCTCTGCCCTGCAGCGCCCACCTCCATGTGCCTGTGGAAGAGGGAGGGTCTGTGGAGTTCCCATCAGTGGCTAAGCATCTGCCGTCTGGGTGGTGTTTCCTGGGTATGTAGATTCATAAGGAACTGCTCACGCTTTGAGGATTTTAGCTTCAGGCACCAGTGGGCTCTGGGTACTGATGAGCTCCAGGAAGCGCTCACGTGGCACTGCTTTCACTGAGCAGGGCTCTGCCGTGCCCACCTGGAGAGGGGCGGGCCCACAGAGGGACACTGATGCCCGCCTGCGTGGGGACACCTGAACACACCCAGAGACTGAGGCAGTGCGTGTGCTGTGTTTGCATGCAGATTTCGGCCTGAGTAAGGAGGCCATTGACCACGACAAGAGAGCGTACTCCTTCTGTGGGACGATCGAGTACATGGCGCCCGAGGTGGTGAACCGGCGAGGACACACACAGAGTGCCGACTGGTGGTCCTTCGGCGTGCTCATGGTGAGCCTGCCCCTGGGCCCCTTCCCTGCCATGGCGGCTCTTCCCCAGGTAGCCCCTGTCCCCAGGTGGGTTCAGAGGTCCGGGAATGCAGGCGAAGGCAATGCCTCAGGGTGTGGCTTGGGACCTCCCACAAGTGTCCAGGACGAGCACTTCCCAGCAGCCTCCTGTCCTTCCCACGTCCCCACCATCAGCAAGTGGGGCTGGGATGCAAAGGAGAACCCATGTGTGCGAGGAGACAAACTGTCTTTATGCTTCGTGCTCTTCGGGTTAGCATGATGATGATGAGAGATGCCATGGTTTCATATTACAATATTTTTCTTATTTAAACACAAAATCCTTACACTTAGTTATGAACTGAGATGTACATGGAGATAGGCATTTTTGCATCGGTCTCTGGAAAGGTGAGTTGTCTGTCACACTCTCGCAGAGTGTGTAACCGAACTTGGTTTGGGCTGTTGTCTGTGTCACAGTCTCACAGAGTATGTAACTGAACTTGGTTTGGACTGTTGTCTGTGTCACAGTATCACAG